TACATAACATAAACAGCTAAAAATTTAATTTTTGATTTATCAAATTGTTGAAACTTTTGGTGATGTTCGATTAAACCTTTGAGTTCCCTATATTCTCCCAGCAAAATATTGGTGCAACATTTTGCTTGCTTTTACATACTTTTCTACAATTGTTTGGCAATTTTTGAACCAAATAGACATCATTTTTCATCAGCTACCAGTTTAAAACAAAATTTTAACAAAAATATGAAAAAATTGTGTGGATTTAAAATCTGTGAATGGTGACAAAAGACTTTGGCGCCCAAAGGTTTAATAAACAATGTATCTTGGTGCTTACTTTTCTTCAGAGGAGAAGACACATTATACTTTATAATGAAAAGAAACACAAAAATTATTCTTTTTAACTAAATTGTCACACCCATAATTACAGATACAGTTACCTATAAACCTTTTACAATTACATGAAAAAAAGATGATTTTATTCGGTAGCACATACAATTATGCAAATTTTATGCATAACTTATCTATTTATAATATATGCAAATTATATGTGTAATTTTATGCAGATTGTATAAACACTATGCATAAATTATTATTCATACCTAGGAAAGGTTCTGTAGATGATAGAAAACAGGAACAAGGCAGCAAAATTATGAAGTTAATTATTATGTTGTCACAGCAAGGCACAAACATAGAATAAAATTTGAAAGAAAAATAAACAAAAAATTAGTAACATATTCAGGTTTCATGCAATGCATTAAATATACATTCAAATATTGTGGAATTGTCAATAAATCAGAACTTGTAATAATCATAATAATTGTTAAATAATCGTAAGAATATGAAAATCATAAGCTATGTGTATGTGAATTTATTCATGCAAAATGTGACGTGTGAAAAATTATATGAAAGTATGAAAATTATGCACACATGGAAGTTTAGCGATGTGAAAGTATATGGATATAGGATATATGGATATGCAAAGTAGACAGTATGACAATGATTTTGATTTTATATAAATTGAACAAATAATGAAATGACAGTAAATATGTATGTTACGTTACATATAATATGGACATGTGGGCATTTATGAAAATTACATGTGTATGCAAATCATATGCAAAATACAGGGTTAATGTAAATTAGAAAAATTTCATGAAATGTTAATGAAATTTAGTTATGCAAATGAGGTAATCATGTGGCAATTGGACAAATAAAAATTGTGTGTAAATTATATAGGAATAGTTCTAATATGCTGGAATATGGAAATATATGCAAATTATATGCAATTACAAAGTTAGCATTTTATGCGTAAATTAGACAAAATATACAAAAATGGCAAATAATATGTACACTGTATGGAAATTTGCATATTATGCAAATTTGATGTAAATAAAGTATGTGTACCGTAATTTACATGTGATTTGGATGTTATGCAAAGTATATGTAAATTTTATCGTAATTTATGTGGGTATGCGAAAAAACAAAAATGCTAACTGTAAATGAATCAATAAATCTGTGAGTATAAAACAAAATATGTTGACATGAATTAGTTAATATTAAAATGATAAAGAGTACATTTTATAAAATATGAAACATAATATTGCCAATATGAACAATCATGCTACAATATCTTAAGGGGACTGAATGATGCAAGTTATATTGTTACAAGGATGTCATCATAATTATCAATAAGCTAGGGGGCTCTTTCTCACGAAACATATCACACACAACACCAATAGAATTGCGATTTGCAAATAAAGTCACCTTAACAGAGCAAAATTTGAGCAGTTCTTAAAACGCCAACAATAATTATTATCTTATTTGAGAAAGAATGACTACATAGAAGGCAATTTATTAAGCAATATAAAAGAAGGAACACAAACACCCACAAAATACAACACCATTATACCATCACCAATTTACTTTTACCAATGTTTACGCTAGTTTTCCCAGAAATAATGGCCAAATGGTCAACAATTAAGCAACAGACCATAAATGAATGTATATTTGCTACTCAGTTCACAATTACTGGTTTGTGTACTGGTAATAGTGATGATCATTTGCCTATATATAGAATACATTATACATACAGAAATATTCCACTATCAACACAATAACACCAGTATACAGTTTAATTAAATAAGTCTGCATACAGATAATTACACCTTATACACCATATATACTAAACATACAGTGACTAAACACAATCATGTTTAAGCATTCAATTGCCAACAATTAACTTAGCACAATCTGGTCTATTAGTATGTACACAAAGTAAGCTCAATTAAGCATTTAATAACTATTCACACCATATATATTCAACCATTGAAGTCTAAATATAGAAAATAAGTACAAATAAGCATTTATATTAATAAATATTACTGCGAAGGACAAAGCAACCCACCAAGTAATATTACAGTACTGTAAAATACTTTATTTTTGCTGAATGGGTAATTCACTGAAAATAAAATCCAGCGAATATACCTTTTTACCTATATTTTACATTTAACTCATCAAAAATCAGTGATTAATCTCTATACAAAACCCCCAAAAGATCTTTTCAGAAAAATTATTTCCAGCTAAAATAAAGTATTTTACAGTGACTGCAAAATACATAGCTATATTGATAGCTATGTTGTTTTTAAACATGTAATCATAATACTGTAACAAAGTCAGTTTCCTTCAGACACCGTGGCACCTTGTATCTTACTCTTTGGCTACAACTGTGAGAGTAATTAGCAACTATGTACAAGTAATTAGTAGCCTGCTTATCAATTCTGACCTAAGATTTAACCCTGTGGACATCACAGGAAAAATGTAAAAAAGAAATTACAACTGCATGTGATGTGGTGAAAAACGCCAAATATAACCGTAAATAATGCAGTGTAGTACTCCAGGGGTTGTAGAATAATTACAATTCATTAAGACCAGCAGAGCATTTCACAGAAATCTGGCATTATATGCTATGAATACTGGTATATTGAAAACTACTTAACATGGAATAGAGATTACAGGCAGCTTTCATGATTCAGTATCAATGATGTTGACATTACCATCGAACAACTACAAAGTGTTACTGATAGTGTTGACTATTTCAATATGCTGAGATGTATACATACTGTAGCAAATATTGATTTCAGTAATTTTCCATTCGTAATATGTGAAAGACGTGGATAAAACGCCTGGTGGAAAAATCAAAAGTTTTGAATGCCAGGCGAAACAGTGATTATGGATAACTGCAATTGTTCAAATCACAAAGATACTAACTAGAAAAATTTGCTTCATGATGCTAGGTGATTGCCAAATTAGCCTAGTATTTAAGGCATTTTTCTCAAGTTCAATCCCACTCTGTCATCTTTAAGGCAATTTATTTCAAAATGACATATGCATTTTACTGAGTTGGCTATCAGAGAACATTTCACTGTAATGGACAAATTTATGACCGAATTGGCCATGTATATTTCTGCCACTGCTGAGAGTTATTGAATCAAAACCCAACCAAAATTTTCAGGGCCAACCAAATCATCTCAAGAAAAAAAGGGATATATTAGTACCATGCTATGTTAATGATATTATTTGGGTTAACATGACAGTACTGTTTAATACGAATTAATACAAGGCTAATTACTTTCATACTTCAGCAAGATATCAACATTACACTGTCTGGCGGAAATGACTTTGCTGCAATATTATTATTTTGCTAGGCTGTAATAATGTTTTGTTAGTTGGTTTGTCCTTCATAGTAAGACCCTGTAGCACCATAGAAAGCTAAATAGTAGTCATACAGAAAGAACAAAGGAAGGTACTTACTGTAAAATACTTTATTTTCGCTTGGAATTAATTTTCGCTGAAGGAATGATTCAGTGAAAATAAAATCTAGCGAATAAACCTTTTTTCCTATATTTTACATTCAACTCGTGAAAAATCAGTAAAAATATATTCCATAGAAAAAATCCTAAAAGTCTTTTGAGCGAAAATTGGTTCCAGCTAAAATAAAGTATTTTACAGTAAGCACTCGACTGCTAACAACTTAGTACTATATGCATAAAAATTAACATACATACAGAAAGAAAGCACAATTGTATTTCAACACTTTAGCACCATATACAGTAAAATCGGTCTAATCTGAATAGTAATACGACTACCAATATATGTTGGTTGAGTTGAGATTGTTTATGAAAAAAAGGTTTACAGGGTTAATTGTCTATAAAATGAATTCAGCTTAGACCGGTTTCACAGAAACAGAATATCCATTTTTATAGTTAAGTATATTATTAACATAGTAGTAAGTACAGAATATTACTACATATAAAACACAGTATGGTAGAATACCATATATGGCATTATGCATAAATATTGCTGAGTGATAGAATACCTTATATGGCATTATGCTAATATTGCTGAATGATACAATACCTTATATGGTATTGAGCTAATATTGCTGAATTGTAGAATACCTTATAAGGTATTATGCTAATATTGCTGAATAATAGAATAACTTATATGGCATTATGCTAATATTGCTGAATGGTAGAATACGTTATATATCATAATATGCTAATATGGGAACAAACCATCACCATATATGAAGTCTGGATCACTAAGGTCTTATGAGTGAGGAAGCCTAATTAACATGAAATGAAACATAACACTGACAACATTACTGACAAGTAATAGAAATATAAGTGTCAATAATAAAATAATATATTTACCACTTTCTCCTGAATGTAATAGTTCTTCATCCCTTCTGCTAGTTCTGTTGAAATTAATAATCTCATATTTAAAAAATAATGTTTATCATTAAACACAAACAATAGAATACAGTTATTTGCAGGAGTGGGTTGTCCTAATCTCCAATGTTGAAACAATCAGAATTGAAAAGAGATATTTTTTGGAATAACTAAATAATAGGAAATATTCACTGTGCTTAATTTTAGCAGATTGGTGTTACAGGGATAAAACCAACTTGCTAGTAGACTAAAAATAGTTTGCCATAGAAACAAGCAGCCAGTTAGCTGAAATAGGTCTGCTATAAGACTGTTGAAAATTGCATTTTTTCTAAACTGACAAAAATTTTGACTAAAGTTAAACTTATTGTCACGAAATGAATAAATTTGTCAGAGGTCCACCCAAGTAGTCTACATATAAAATATCAAAGCATTAGGGCTAGTAATTTTCAAGAAGGTAAAAATATAATTTTTTTTACTAACATTGACAAAAATATTTACTAAAATTAGAGAATTGAAGGTATCAGTGCAAAATAAACAAATCTGACTAGTCTCCACCCACAGTATAACAAAGTATTCAAAAGTCAACCTGAAGTTGACGCTGATGGACGACAATGAAAAATAAGTAATATGAACAGCTTAGCAAACAGACATAAATTCTTATTTGCTCAACAATTTTATGATATATTATGAAATTTTAACTAATTAATTAAAAAAAATTATGTTACTCAACTTTGTGAAGGAGAAAAGCAGACTCTGATGTTCAAACAGTTAATGATAAATTACTGAGCTCTTAAAATATGCAATGATTATTTTTGCAAATATACAAACAAATTTCCAAATTCTTAGATATGTATTGTTGGTTGATTATGGTACTCAGTAAGTTAAATTTCACAAAATACAGTTATTCAACACTAGAGGGCAGTATATAGAGGTTAACAAATACAAACCTAATCTCCTGCACCAAAATCACCACACCACCAATGATGTAGAACAGAGCGAAGAAAGCAACGATGACTGAAATAGCTATCCAGTACTGCCTGCCTAGTCACAAAAACAGAATACATAAGAGTTTATATTCATGGTTGACGACCAATACAGTGCATTATAATCAGGTGCTGCAAAAACAATGCCATTTCCTGTCTCACATGATGATAATAATAATAATAATAATAATAATAATAATAATAATAATAATAATAATAATAATACTGTAAGCATTGATATAGCGTTAATCTGATCAGAAAATCAGAGAAACTATTCATATTGAACATTACTACCACTACGTCATATGAATCAATTCGTAAACCATCTTCAATTTTCTGGGGAGCTTACAGCCTGAACAGCTGAATAGCACATCAAAGCTGAGCACACATAGAAATCACTACTCTACCATTTACTGTTAGATCAAAAGAAGCACAGGAGTGAAGTGCATTACTCAAGAACAGAACATTAAGAACCAACAAGATTTGATTCAACAACTCACTGATTGAAAGTCTAAAATCATAGCCCCTGTAATACGATACCTTCTCATATGATAGAAATGACTTACTAGATATAGTAGCTTCTATTGTGACTGTCAAATTTTTTAATCTCAGTTCTAAATCAGGATTGGGATCTGGAAAACAATTAAACAATTAGGAGTCAAATTTACAAAACAAGCATTCAAAATGTCATGGACACAACACAACTATTCCAAGGGAGAGGTGGATTATAACACAATCTAAATCTAGCTTTAAGCCGATAAACTTTCTTTTGTGTTTAAGTCTGAGCTTCTTTGTTATATTTTGTTAGTGTCGTGTATATGCTTCATCCAAATAGAGAGTGAGTCCTGAGAGGAAAAAGCCTTTATAAGGAAAATGTGGAAACTCAAAGGATTAATACACTAAATGAATCCAAAATACAGTAATATTATTATTAAGATGAATTCTAATATTGTTAAAACATTTAAGAAATGACATTTAATTCAGTGAATTTCCATCATTACATCATAGACCTTAAAAGTTAAGGTCTATGATTACATCATTTTATGAATATTCATGACCATCCCATGACATATACACCATACTATGAATATTCATGACCATTCCATGACATGCTCCACCACTTTATGAATATTCATGACCATTACATGACATGCTCCACCACATTATGAATATACATGACCATTCCATGACATGCTCTACAACTATGAATATTCATGACCATTCCATGACATGTTACACCACTCTATGAATATTCATGACCATTCCATGACATGCACTACAACTATGAATATTCATGACCATTCCATGACATGCTCCACCACTTTATGAATATTCATGACCATTCCATGACATGCTCTACAACTATGAATATTCATGACCATTCCATGACATGTTACACCACTCTATGAATATTCATGACCATTCCATGACATGCTCTACAACTATGAATATTCATGACCATTCCATGACACGTTACACCACGTCATGAATATTCATGACCATTCCATGACATCTTACACCACGTCATGAATATTCATGACCATTCCATGACATGTTACACCACGTCATGAATATTCATGACCATTTCATGGCATGTTACACCACATTATGAATATTCATGACCATTCCATGACATGTTACACCACATTATGAATATTCATGACCATTCCATGACATGCTCCACCACATTATGAATATACATGACCATTCCATGACATGCTCTACAACTATGAATATTCATGACCATTCCATGACATGTTACACCACTCTATGAATATTCATGACCATTCCATGACATGCTCTACAACTATGAATATGCATGACCATTCAATGACATGCTACACCACTCTATGAATATTCATGACCATTCCATGACATGTTACACCACTCTATGAATATTCATGACCATTCCATGACATGCTCTACAACTATGAATATTCATGACCATTCCATGACATGCTCTACAACTATGAATATTCATGACCATTCCATGACATGCTCTACAACTATGAATATTCATGACCATTCCATGACACGTTACACCACGTCATGAATATTCATGACCATTCCATGACATGTTACACCACACTATGAATATTCATGACCATCCAATGACATGTTACACCACATTATGAATATTCATGACCATCCAATGACATGTTACACCACATTATGAATATTCATGACCATCCAATGACATGTTACACCACATTATGAATATTCATAATCATTTCCTGACATGTTACATTATGAATATTCATTACCATTCAATGTGTTACATCAAACTATGAATATTCATGAAATGAAAACCATGAAGTACATGTAATAGTCTAAAGACCTACCATTACCAAGGTAACTGTCTACACTACTATAGTCAATATTCTTACTATTCATGGCAGGCTGTAGATTTATAATTCCAGCACATTGTGCATCGTCAGGGTGAATTACAACAACAATAAACATGTCACGACCATCAAAATCATCACGCTACAAAAAAATAGTAGAAACAATTCGTTAATTAATACTTAATTAATTTGTCACAGGACTTCTTACTAATCTAAAACTAATAAAATAATCTGATATTTTCATACATGTACTGACATTGAATCACTAGATACAAATGTATAAAATGTTATTACCGGTAAACATTTTTCAACATATTTGCAAGTACGTGTTATTGTGTAAAAGTAATTTTTTGTTCATGTATCAAAACTGCCATCATTATCAATCATTGCTTCAGCCCAGTCATAATGCAAATCAATCACATGTCTCTACAGTCACTGTTGTATATGAACCTCAAAAATTCTCAGATATGTCACAGAACGTTCTATGCTGCTAAGACGCGCACCACTGTACCATGTATTTCTATGGGCTCTGCACGACTTGCTGTGAAACACCGGTTGAAGAGCCAGTGAAAACAGCTGAAGTCAAGAAAACAGCACAAACTCAACTTTGAATTAATCCTTAGCAACCAAATTTATATACATGTATGTTGGACATATTGGGGTAATCTTGTTACACTAATCAGAGGAGTCTCAACAACTATCCCAATGTACAGTTTTCTGGGAGTTTTCAACCTTTGTTGTACATGTACACAAAGTTTAGCAAATACATGTATGGCAGCGACAGTACGGTATATTTGAAGTCAACATGTACATGTATGTGGATGTTTTTTATCAGTGTCCAATCTGTTTTTGTAAAAAAATGAAAATGCATTTCATCTATGAAAACCCAAATATCAATTTGTTAAAACTTGTACTGTACAAGTACCGGTAATTTGTAAGAAATTATTATTAAAATATATCATTTTTAACCCCATGGCATAAAGCAACATTTTGACATACTGATATATATCCTTAAAATTGCACTAAAACTGACAAAACATGATATTTCACTCCATTTTGCCAATGAATTTTCATGGAGTATATGACCTATATTTTAGTTTTTCTTCATCTTGTAAATGTTTTTCATTTTATTTTTGAGCAGTGTTCTACCTCAAGTCCTGTTAAATCACAACATTGAGTAGTAGGTAATAAGTAGTTTTACATGTATTATTATGCATAAAACAAACTTGACCCCCTAGGTGAGTATAGCCTTACCTATAACCCCTTTTATTCAGCTGAGTACTGTCTTACATGTATTGTAACAGATATGACAAACCTGACCCCCTAGGGAAGTACCAGTTTTACTTGTGA